TATATCACGAAAATACTTGTGTTATCTCTATTTCGGACTTATAATTTACTGTAATGAAACCTGTTTTTGGTCTATTAGTCTTTATTAATTGTGTATATGTACCTTCAATTCATGTTATTATATGTTATCTCATGTGTATGTAATTGCATACGAACATCAAATTGACTCGATTTTTTTTATATATATATAAACCAAGTTAAATATAAAATCTCTAACATATTAGATCCCAAAATTGCCAAAGACCTTGTAGTCAAGCGGTAAAACTATGGCTCAACCAATTTGTACTAAAGAAAATGTTAAAATTAGTAAAAGAAGACACAAAAATAGTTGGAAAATAAATAGATTATTCGCCATCATATCAACCACGAGGCAAAATACCAGCAAAAGAAGTACATTTAAGAAAGTTACAAAATGATCTTTTTATTCCAAGACCAATAGTATAAATTTATACTACTCAATCACAAGGATGATAAGTTTACTCCATCAATTAACTTTCTTTAAAAAAAAACAAAAAAAACAAAAAAAAAAACTTACAAGATCGCATTGCATTTTATTTAAACAATTTTTTTTTTATATTCATTATATTAATTATCTATAGATTTACTGATCTCAACTTATGTTAATAAGAAAAGAAGCGATGGCATTTCAAAAGAAGTTTATTATGTATAATATCACATAACATAGTGATAATTGATTATTAGAAGATAATTTTTAAAAAGAAGTTGTAAAAGGGCTCATAATTTTCTACTTTTGTTGGTTAATGCAGTCATCATAAGTCAAAAGCCCATGGCTCAACTGATAAACAAATAAAAGGTTCATAAGCCCATTTGCTTTGTTATCCTGTAAACATATATTCTTTTCCTTCATCTTTCGTATGACTCCAACGATTAATAGTTACGAGCTTTCTTATAAATTAACGAATTTTGACATGTGCACTCTTGGAGAAATATCTTGCATTCGTATTAATTAGATGATATTGACTTAATATTATATCCATGAATGGCATGGAGTACTTGACGACATATATGATGCATGAAGCACTAAGATTTTGTGGAACAAACAAAAATTCCATCTTTTTTTTTTTTTTTTTTTCTGTATATGGCTACAAAATTAACCTACATTTAAATGTTAAAAAATTAGTGATTTATCTAACAGTTTAGAATGTTTGATAAGCGAACTGCTAATGCAATGGTAATATCTGGATGCCTTTTCCCCTACTAATAATTAGAGTCTATAGGTAGTGTGGTGAAGATACCTATACACTATGTACTTTCCAAAAAAGAATCAAAGATAATAAAATTCATACATTCTTCCCATCTTAACGGGAAGAGTAACTGAAACATTTTAGAAAAAATCTTGATGCATGCATATATAGTATAGTGACCTATTCTCTTCTAAATATCAACATAATTGAATGACCAAAATTTAGCACAATAATAACCTTAATTTATACTAACATATATAAGGTACGATCGTGTCACATTTTATAGAGGACAATATATATCGTTCTTTGGTATTCAAATTCCACTGCACCCAATTCAACCAACTCGAATAACATGAAAAGTGAAGGTGTTATAGTGTTATTAACATTTATAGCATTTATGGTATACTTTTGGTGGATAATGAGTCCTGAGGAATTAATTCTGGATTTGGAGTTGCATAAACAGCACAAGCAAAAGCAAGTATTCATCTTAGCAGGACAAAGCAACATGCTGGGGCGTGGAGGAGTAACGAAGACGACGTTGTACAGTGGGGAAGAAATGAAAGTATGGGACGGGGTGGTGCCGCCGGAGAGCCACCCAAATCCGGCGGTTTTCAGACTGGATAGCGAACTCCGGTGGGAGTTGGCACGTGAGCCCCTTAGCCATGGAATCTACTGCACAATAACGTGCGGTGTTGGGATCGGAATGGCCTTTGCAAATAGGCTCCTAGAAATGGACCCTAACTTCGGCGTCGTGGGTTTGGTTCCCAGTGCCGCCGGCGGGACCTCCATTACCAATTGGTCCGGCGACGCTTTCAATAAACCCTACCAAGTGTTGGCCAAGAGAGCTAAATTTGCAGTCAAGAGTGGAGCAAATCTCAGGGGAATTTTATGGTATCAAGGAGAGACTGATACAAGATGGTCTCGCAACGCAAAAAACTACAAGATTCATCTCCAAACATTCATTCATAAGATACGCAATGATCTAGGTTTACCCACCCTTCCTTTTTATCAGGTATCCCTAATATTACCTATTACATTTTTACAGTCAAGTTGGTTAGAAAGTTGACTTACTTAACCATAAAATCACAAGTTTGACTTCGGTGGGAACAGCCTATTGGCTTTCGTAGTTTTAGCCGACCAATTATAGGTAACCTTGGTTTTATCTCATGATGGTCATTTTCTTGTTAAGGTCACATGGCGGGGTTTATACCGTACACAACCTATGTTGGTTTACGTACTAGTGGTCATTTGCAAGCTAGGATCATAAATGTTGGGTTTAGCTAGTGCAGACCATTAGATAGTGGTTGCAGGTTTCCCTCGTCACTCAAAAAAAAAAAAAAAAGATTTATGATGGTTCCTAGCTAAGTCGGTGGTTTAATTTCAAGTTCAACTATCAATAAGAGCTACTTGATTAGGGTCGATTAATTATGCTCAATTTGGACTGATTTATCTCTTTCTGGTCCTTTGACCAGGTTTTGGATAGTGGCGTGGGGTTATTATTAGTAAATTGAATTGAAGTTATTCATTGTTATATTGATGGTATATGCAGGTAATTATTCCACATTTGAAAAAGCCATTTCTGGGGCCATATGTGGAAGAGGTAAGAAAAGCTCAAATGGAGATTAATGTCACCAATTTGATCAAAATAGAAGCAGAAGGATTACCAATTGGAGGTGACGGGGTTCACTTAACAACGGAGGGTTACATTCAATTAGGACATATATTAGCCGACACATTCCTTAAAACCAACTCCAAATTATTGAGGAACGAAACTGTTGTTTCAATCTATAACAGTTCGGATTATAAAGAGCCTTCATATTCATCATATGATGGATTTTACACTCTGGTACTTAGGTTAATGGCCAAATGGCTTCCACGAACATCCATTTGATTCACCTTTCATTGGTCTAGTAGCTAGCTAGGTCGGAAAACATGCAACATTTGCAATATTCCACGCACGTTTATGAGTTATAATGGACATGTTTTGTTGATTGTTGGTGTTGTGACTGTTGTCTGGTTTATTATTTGTATGAAATGTTCTACACTATGTAATAGAGTATACGCTAAAATTAGTAGAGGAGATATTTTTGAAACGAAAAAATGTTACTCTCTTGGAGTTTTGTGCAACATAGATGTGATTGGAAAACAAATTCCTAAAGATCTACTATACAAATTTGGTAAATTAAATCTAGACTTTCCATATATAATGTCTAGCTTCCTCAACCATAAAACTTTTCAAAATATAATTTTCAGTCGTAACTGAACTTTCATATCCATGATCAAAGATATTTTGCATCCCATACCATTTTGCATCCAAAACGACGTCATTTTCAGAGAAAACACGGCATTTCAGTTTTAAAAAAAAAAAAAAAAATTGATTTTGTCTCGCCGTTAACGGCGTTATTCGTTTGTGGCATTATAAATGTACAGTTATGGAATTATGAACGTAATAAGTTATGGAATTATGAACACAGAGCTTTGACATTATGAACTTACAATTATGAACATATAGTGATAAAATTGTGAACATAGAGCTTCGAAAATTATGAATTTACAGTTATTGAATTATGAATGTACAGTTATGCAATTATGAATGTACAGTTATGGAATTATGAACACAGAGCTCTGACATTATGAACTTACAATTATGAACATATATTAATAAAATTATGAACATATGCTCCTATAACAAAGCGGTCTGAAATTAAAAAAAAAATAAAAATAAAAAAATGGTGAAAGATAACGGTGTCACTAATGACACCGTTACCGTGTCCACAATGCATGCTGGACACGGGTCCATAGCATAACGATTGGTAATGATTGAACTGTACGTGGCTTTGGATCAGGGACGAGCCTTGGATAAGCAAAGACAATGGCATAAGTCGAGGGGTCATCTTTAGACATACCCAACAATAAATAATCATATATGATAAAAATAACCCTTTCAAAATAGCACAAATAACTATACACTACTATTTGAGCATTGCCATATGTTACCAAAAGGAAGGGGGAGTCAATGAAAAATATGAGGAGTGGAGGGGCTATGGTGTTATTTATAATCATAGCATTTGTGATATGCTTTTGCAGGTTAACAAGTTCTCAGGTATTAATTGAAGATTTGGAGTTGAAAACAAAATAATAATAATAATAAAACAAGTGTTCATCTTAGCAGGACAAAGCAACATGGTGGATGCAATGCCTGAAGAGTGGACAAGATAATAGTGGTTAATGGGACAAAAGTGAAAATATGGAACGGGGTGGTGCCGCCGGAGAGCCACCCCAATCCGGCGATTATCCGGTTGAATAAGAAAATCCGATGAGAGTTGGCACATGAACCCCTTCACTATAACATCACAGGCCTCCTGCGAGTTAACATGTGGAGTTGGGGTTGGGATGGCTTTTGCAAATCAAATCCTAGAAATGGACCCTGATTTTGGGGTCATAGGTTTGGTTCCTACTACTGTCGGAGCAAGTGTAATCACGGATTGGTCCGCCGACTCTTACAATGATGCGTACAAGCATTTGGTAATCAGAGCTAAAGCTACCGTGAAGAGCGGAGGAAACCTCAGGTGCAATTTTGTGGTACCAAGGAGAGCCTGATTCAACGTTGTCTCGCTTCGTAAAGAACCACAAGACTAATCTCAAAACATTCATTTATAAGATACGAAATGATCTACAATCTCCTACGCTCCCAATTTACATGCTACTCCCTTATATATATACTTTTGATTTACAAGAAACTTTGTAACCACTACTCAAAAGTGTATAATGTGTATAGTGAGTTTTAAAGCCCTTA